GCCCTTTGGAAGAGCTCGGAGGATGGTGAGTGCATTCCAGACACCGGGCACTGAGTTATTTGCACAGTTGGTTTTGCTTTGTTCACATTGTGTCTATGCCCTGCTCCTTCTCTCTTGAAATTAGAAAGCACTTAAATTATTTTCAGTCTTACAGGAGCCCACAGTTGAGAGACTTTAACCTTAAAAGAGAGAGGGGGGAGGGAGAGAGAGATTTTTGGGGTTTTACAGAGAATTTGGATTTTAAAAGAGACTGCAAATTTTTAGAGAGACTGCAAAATTTTTAAAGCATTTGCAATTGTAAAGCTTTGGGACATTTTAAGTTTGTAATTTTTTTTTTTAAATTGTGTTGTCTTTATTAATATGTGACCTTGGGGATGAGCTAGAAAGGAAAGGTCGTGGCCTAACAGTGACATGTTTGTGTGTCAAGCTGCCAAGGGGTCACACTGTGCTGGATGAACTTACGTCAACTTGACACGAGCTAGAGTCATCTGAAAGGAAGGAAGCTCAATTGAGAAAATGCCTCCATAAGATCTGACTGTAAGGCATTTTCTCAATTAGTGACCAATGGGGGAGGGCCCAGCCCATTGTGGGTGGTGCCAGCCAGGACCACCGTGGTCCTGGGTTCTATAAGAAAGCAGGCTGAGCAAGCCAGTAAGTAGCACCCCTCCATGGCCTCTGTATCAGCTCCTGCCTCCAGGTTCTGCCCTGCTTGACTTCCTGTCCTGAGTTTATTCAGTGATGAACAGCAATATGGAAGCAGAAGACACATAAACCCTTTCCTCTCTAACTCTCCATTTGGTCATGGCATTTCATCACAGCAACAGAAACCCTACCTAAGATACAGGGAAAGTGTTTTGTGAGCCATAGATGTGGCCCCTGCTCATCTGTCCATTTTCCAATTTCCATAACAGGCCAAACTGTACTTTTCCACCTGCCTACCTAGGCTATGACTGGCCTCTTTGTAACCAATCCTTCCTGCTTTCTTTTCACTATAAAACATGGAGCTTTCTTGGGCCTCCTTAGCCATATGCACACTTCTTTTTCATTTATTACCCACAAACAGTCGATCACAGTGTTGGTTAGGGCAGGGGTCTCTGTTATTGAACACAGACCCCTTTGGTTTCTCTGGGGTCTAGGGTGCCTCATCATAGTTTTCTATATGTCTGCTCTCAATCCATTCCCAAGCTTACCTCTTTGGTGTAACTCATCTCAGTGCTGGACAAATCATCCTACATGCTGTTGTCCTCTGCCATCCATCTCTCCTGGCCTCTTTTGCTATCCCAGCTGCTTCTGGCTGGTTCCAGTCCTGCCATCTTCTTTGCTGCCCGGGTGGGCTACTTCTCCACCCCACCCCCGCCCCGGGTTGGGTTGGAGTGGCTTGTTCCTGGATCTTTCCTGTTCTCCTTTGGTTTCTTTCTCTTTAAAATAAGATTTATTTCGAAGGGTGGTGGCGGCCCATGCTTTTAATTGATCCCAGCACTCGGGAGGCAGAGACAGGTGGATCTCTGTGAGTCTGAGGCCACCCTGATCTACAGAGCGAGTTCCAGGACAGCCACGGCTACACAGAGAAACCCTGTCTCAAATCCCCTCACCCAAAAAAGGTTTATTTCACTCTTTTTTTTAAAATCTTTTATTATTTTTTTTAATTACACTTTATTCATTTTGTATCCCCCCTATTTCACTCTTTATGTGTATAAGTGTATCTATATGGGTATGCACACACTTGTGTGACCAGTTGGGGGGCAGAACACGTCATTGGGTTCCCTGGAGCTGGAGTTACAGGGGGTTATGAATTGCTTGGCATGGGTGCTGGGAACCGCACCCAACTTGGGTCTTAATGGGTGAATCATCTGCCCAGCCCACAGCTTAGTTTGTTTGCTGAGATATTGATTGGCATTTTAAGGACACAGTTTATTTCTTTGCTGAGAAGTTTATGTGACATTTCAAGAGTTTACTTGTTCAGCTCATGTACGGAGTTGGCACAGGGTTGATCTAGTGGGAGGGAGATAGAAAAGTAATAGTATTAGGTAGTGTTACAGGCTGGAAATGCCCTGCTCTATGAGAACATAATGGCCAAAGTGGTGTAATTGGGAGGTAAGGCCTCCTCGCCCAGAAAGAATTGCTCACTTCATATCAAGGTGAAGTTAACAAGAGATTTTAACTGGTCCCTTGATGTTATAACAGTACCCGTTCATGGGTATGGAGGCGGGGAGCAGGGAACTGTGACGTCCAATCTGTGGATTGCCTTGCAGAGTAAGTGTTTCTAGGCTATACTGTATTGAAGTTTGTCACGTGACACACATACAGCCAGGGACTAAGGTACTTTCTCTAAAAAACCATTTTGCTTAAGTGAACACCTGTACTCTCCAGGTTCATACTACGTAGCTCTGGCTATCCCTAAACTGGTGCTGTAGACCAGGCTGGCATTTGACCTGTAGCAACACTCCAGCCTCTGGATCTCAAGAGAGAGCCGGCTTCAGGTGGTTTTATTTTTTGGCCTAGCCCTTCCCTCTAGGTGACTTAGTGTCAGGCCCCTCCAAGTCCTTTACACGGTGAGACTTGTAGAACTTTGTACTGTAGTTGTGGAGGCAGGGATCGAACCCCTCTCCACCTAGGGCCTTGCGCATGCTAGGCAGGCACTTTATCACTGTCCAGCTCAAATGTTCAGTGAGCTGGGAGCCCATGGGCAGTACCTTCCAGGGGCTGAGCGTACAGCAGTAAGCTAAGGAGGGGCACTCTCCTTTCGGAGCTTACACAGGTAGAGTGTGCCTCGAAAGTGCACTTTACAGTGAGAAGGTCACGCTGCAGGGAGTCCTAGGGGAGTGGGATGGCACCCTGGAGATAAGAGACATAGCAGGACTGGGTACTTTATAAAAATGTGATGATGTGGGGACATATGACCAGAAAGATAGGCAGAAAGGAAGCTCATGTAGACATCTGGGTAGAAAAATGAACAGAAGGCCCAGTGTGGGGCTGCACGCCTTTGATCTCAGTAAATCCTGTCTCAAACTAAAGGAAAAAGAAATATCAGCATAAACACAGCCCTAAGGGGGGGACTGAGGAAGTCAGCGAGAATGGGATAGTCATGGGAGTAGGAGGTGACCTGTGACACTCTGGGAACAACAGGGCTGCACTTTCATTTTCCTGCTTCATCTAATATAGTCCACAACTTTTGTTTGTTGTGTGCATTCTGAGACAGGCTGCGGTGTAGTTCAACCTGGCCTCAAACTTCCTACGTAGCTGAGGATGACCTAAACTCACAACCCTCCTGTTTCGACCTCCCAAGTGTGGGGAGTATAGGAACATGCTACTTTACCTGGCTTCCTCCCCAACCCCGCAAGATAGGGTTTCTCTGTGTAGCCTTGGCTGTCCTGGACTCACTTTCTAGACCAGGCTGGCCTCAAACTCAAAGAGATCCTCCTGCCCCTGCCTCCCAAGGGCTGGGATTAAAGGAGTGCACCCGCTCCTGGAGAGGGGTGTTTTAAGTGCTAGTGTGTACATGTGTTGGGGTGAGGAAGGCTGGAGAGTAGTGGTATGAGAGGTTTGTGTGGGCAGTGGAGGTCTGGAAGGGTAGTGGTTGCAGGGGGAAGGATAAGAGGAGGGGCACTGGGTTATGTGGCGGGGTTTACGTGCCACACTTGGAAGACTCAGGTATTTAGAGGGCCTGAAGGAGTGGCGAGTGGGTAGGTGTTGGGGGGTATGGTGGAGGGGGTGGAAGGTTGGAGGGATGTGGGAGCTATGAGGGAGCGTGGGGTGGTACGGTATGTTTGGGGCGGTCTGTTTGCAGGGCCAGTGAGGCGTGTGGGGTGTGGGATGGAGGGGTAGTGGGTTGTGTAGAGGGCTGAAGTATTTGGCGGGTGGCAAGGGTCGGGCTTCCTTGGGGTATGTGGTGGAGGGATGATGGGAGTGCAGGGTGTGTGGAAAGGTAGGGGTGTTTGTGGGGTTGTGTGTGTGTATAGGAGAGGAGAGGTAGCTGGTGTGGTTGTGGGTGTGTGCGTGTTAGAGGGGTGGGGATGTGTGTTTGGAGTGTGTGGAAGGGCGGTGGAGAGGGGTTTTGGCTGGCGGTGATGTGTGTGGGATGTGTGGGTGGGGTGGATACGTGGAGGGGTGAAGGAGGGGTGGAGGGAGGGATGGTGGGTTCTTTCGTGGGTGTGACTCTAAGAAATGTGTGGCTTGTGAGATGTGGGGTGTCTGGAGTATTGAGGGTGTGTGGGAGAGAGGGAGGACGGTGAGGTGTGCAGTGGGGATGTGGTCGGGGTGTGAGGAAGAATGATGGAGAGTCGGGTGGAGGCCCTTGTGGCTTTTGAGGAGGGGTCAGGTTGTGCTAGAGCGTGTGGTTGAGACGGTTTGGGAGAGGGTGTTCGGAGCCCTTGAGGGGAGGTAAAGATGCGTGGGGTATGCAGAGTGGGTTAGGGTGTGCGTGTGCTGGCGTGATTTGCTTGCACGTGTGTGTGTGTGTGTGTGTGTGTGTGTGTGTGTGTGTGTGTGTTTGTGTGTGTGGAGTGTTGAGGGGGTGGAGCTGTGGAGAGATGTTGTGGACAGATGTATGGGGTTTGTGGAGAGTTCAGGCGGGATGTTGTGTGAGGGTTGTAGGGATGGTCAGGGTGTTTGGACCATTGGAGAAGTGTAGGGGTTGTGTGTGGGCTGTGTGGAAGGTTGAGGGCAGGGTCTGCTTTGTGTGAACATTGTGGAGGGGTTTGCTGCTTAGAAATCTGGAAGGTTTGTGTGTGTGTGTTTGTGGTGTGTGTGTGTGTGTGTGTGTGTGTGTGTGTGTGTACATGATGTGCCTCCCCCCCTCCCCCCTCCTTGTCCACCCCCTTCCTCTTTCCCATCATCTCCTCTCCTGTTCCTTCTCTCTCTCCCTTCTCCTCCTACCTGGCCTCCGGCCCGCCCCTCGCCCCTCCCCTTCACGCCCGCGTGGTGCCCGCCAGCCGGTGACTTTTAAGACCGCTTGCTGTTCTACACGCTGCGCTCAAGAGCTTTCCAGCTGAGCAGCGAGGATGGCCCTGGCGCTGCTGCCACTGGCGCTGCTGCTCCTGGCCACAGGTGATACTCAAGCTGGTCGGGTGTCCAGGTCCAGCGAAGCCGGGACCAGCCCAGAGATAAGCAAGCTAGGTCTGGGCTTGGGTAGATGCGCACCGTTACTGGCCGTTCTGCCGGGTGGGCAGTAGTGGGAACGGAAGCTGAAAGTGGGGCGGTTCCAGCTGGGGCTTAGATCCTGGCTTCTCCTAGATGTCACCCAGCCACCTGTGTTTCCTCCCGTAAGCAGATGTTCTGGACTCCACACAGGGAGTTGGGTTGTATCCAGGACCCTGCTGAGCCTGACAGGCTGTGTGCGGGATGTGGGGATGCCCAGGGACCTTTCTCGGGATGGACGGGGCATCTGTGGGAGCTCAGAGTTGACTCTGAGCTCGGTATACTGGCTCACACCTGTAATCCCAGCACTTGGGAAACAGAGGCAGGGGGATCATGCTTTCAAGACCAGCCTGGGCTGCGTGAGGCCCTGTCTCCAAAGTTAAATACATGTTTTGTGTTTATCTGAAAAAAAAAAAAAAAATTTTTTTTTTTTGAGCACAGACAAAAGAATATTTTGCACTGTAACTTTACTTATAACATTTGTAACTTCAAGGTCAGTTTTCAAGGAAAATTAATAGAAAAAGGACCAAATGTTCTCTCTGTATCTTAAAAAAGTCCCAGGAAGAAATAATGGAAGGTCTTTTTAAAGAGGCGTGGAGAGGGGAAGTCACGTGTGGTTGAAACACAATCTGCTTTTGGTTTTGGTCTTTGTGTTTTAAGTGTGTGTGTGTGTTTTATAGGCGCATGGAGGCTAGAAGTCAACACTGGTGTCTTCTATTGCTCTATACCTTCCTTTTGAGACAGGCTCTCTCCAGGAACCTGGAGCTTGCCACTTCTGCTGGAATGGCTAGCCAGTAATACACCGGTCTCAGCCCCCTCCAGTGCTGGGCCAAGCCGTCATGGCCAGCAATCAGAACTCAGGTCTCAGCAAGCACTTCAGTCATTGAACCAGCTCCCCAGCCCACAAATTTTTGTCCCCCCTACTGCACACTGAGTGTGTGTGTGTGCCCGCACGTGAGGTTTACACATGTACAGGTCCACTTGTCTGAGTGTGTTCACATCGGGGCTAGCAGCTGGCATAGGGCACCTTCCTTTGTTATTCTCTATCTTATTTACAGACTGGCTTGTAAGGATCTTTTACCAACAATTTGCCTTAATCATCTACACAATGTCAGTGTTTTCTCCTTACAGCCTTTCCTGTTGACACTCTCGACTCCTTCAGTTATAACCCTTCTAAATACAGATCAGTAAGTACTGAAATGCCTGTTCTGTTCCTTCTCATACAGTGAAGTGTTGAACCATTTTAAGGCCAGATTTAGCACTTTAGAAACCATGAATTGCTTTGTAAGCCAACATCTTATACAGGTCCCTTGATATAGATAAATGAATCTATACTTTACTTTTCTCAAGATCCTCCTGCCTCAGCGTTCTGAGTACAGGTATGAGCCACTATGTTAGCTAGAAGTATACCTTTCAATCAAGAATGGCCCAGTCTTTGGAGGCCCTGTGGGTTTATTTTAATATTGCCTTTAACAATTCAAATTTTCTGAGGTGTGATAGTTTACTCTGTATATTAGACACGTCACGTGTATATATTTTATTTTATTTTTTATACCTCACATATTTTGTCCTATTAAATTCTGTGGACATAAATGAAAACCAAATGATGCAGTTTATTAACAATTGCCATGTCAAGGGGTCTGCCACCATCGGTTTCATTTGGCTAGAGACTCCTTGGCTGGCAAAAACACGGGAAAGTGTCAGAGCGAGAGAGAGGCTCGGGTATGGCCCGATGAAAACTGTCGGTAAGGGAGACTTTAGACAGGCGGCCTGCAAGGCGGGTTAAGGGTGCAGAGGGAGTTGGTTGGCCCCCGTTTGGAACCCAGGACCAATGCTAGGGAAGCTGACAGTTATTAACCCAGACCCAGCCTCTTGGGGCTGACTATGAAAGGGATTATTTGGCTTCCAGGACTGGCTTTGGAGGCAGCAGACTTCTTACAAGTCTGAGGTGAGGGCGAAGGCTCCCTCTGGATATTTCACAGTGAAAATGTTTGCCGCCATTCTCTACCTAGATAACCTGCAGGTAAACGACCTGCTCTTTGTTAGCTCCACAGAGTATCTGTCCCTTGTTGGCTGAGACTGCTCAGTTGCATAGAACCTTCGACTGTCCCATCAGCGGAGAGGTTCTGCTTTGGTTTGCCATGCTGGAGACAGAGTGGTGGCGTCACAGGTGTACAAAACCACACCAGACTTAGCGCTCTAGACTCTCTGGGAGGGCGTAAGGTTGCTGAGGACCTGGTGAATGCTAGGCTGTCACTCTTCTGAATTAAGAATGCATTTTCTGGGGCCTGAGACACGGCTCAGCAGTTCAGAGCACTGGCTGCTCTTCCAGAGGGCCTGAGTTTAAATCCCAGCAACCCCACGGTGGCTCACAACCATCTGTAATGGGATCTTTATGCCCTTCTGGCATGCAGGGATACATGCATACATAACATAAGAATAAATCTTAATAACATGTAGGGGTAGAGCCCAGAGGCTGAGTGCTTGTCTAGCATGCATGCAGCTCTGGGCTCAGTTCAGTCCCCATCACTGTGCGTCCCAGCTGGAGTTACAGACTTTATAACCCTCGAGGGTCTCGTGGAAATATTAGTGTAATGAAGCAAAATGATTTGTGGAGAGCAATGTCAAATACTCTAGAAAGACTTGCTAAAAGGCATTGCTTAAAACAACAAATCAAAGCAGAGCAAACAAACCCTGTAGCTTCTAGGTTTGTGGTGTGAACACTTTTAATTCTAGCACTTAGGAAGGCAGAGGCAGGCGAAATTTTGTGTCCGGCCTGGACACAGTACATAGCAAGTTCCAGGCCAATTGTGAAACCCTGTTTCAAAATCAATAACCCCTCTCCCCAAAACGGCCACTGATTTAGGTGAGTAACAGGGATGGAGGTGGAGGCAATTTCAAAATGAGGCTCACGAAATGTCCTCATTCTCACTGTGTTTCAGAGTACTGAGATTTCTTGTGTGCTTGCTTTTTCCTTTCTTCTTTTTTGAGGTCCAGGCTGGCTTCAAACCGAATGTATAGCTTGAATATAACTTAAGCTACAACTGACCCTTCTACCTCTACCTTCCAAGTGATGGGGTTATTGTCCAAATGGTACCATGCTGGGCTTTGGTATTTTTGTTTTTGTTTTGGAGGGGGCAAGGTCTAGTTCTGTTTCCCAGACTAGCCTAGGAATTACTGTGTATCCCAGGCTGGCCTCAAACTGGAGGCAATCCTCTTAGCTCCATTTCCCAGACACAGGAATTAACTGGTTTAAAGCACACCTGCTCTGAGGACATTTCTTTTCTTCCTCCTTTTTGTAATTGTATCTTGCATGACTGCATCTGAATTTTACATTACAAGCTCATTCTTGGGGGAACAGGATAAAGCATAAGTATTTATGTAGGACATTTCGATGAAATTTAGGAAAAGTTGGGACATTGTCCTTTCTTAGATATTAATGGGTGCAACGCAAGCAATTCTCTTATTTTCCTGCTTTTCTCTTTTGCAGCCAGACTGTACTCTCTATGCCACTTCAGCCTGCCCCAGGAACCTCAGCCCTGTGTGTGGAAGTGACATGAACACTTACGGGAATGAATGTACTCTGTGCATGAAAATCAGGTCCAGTATTAAAAAAAAAATCAATTATTTTTAGAGTTATTATTTTACTTTATGTAAATAAGCGTTTAACCTGCATGCATGTATATACACAATGTGTATATGTGGTTCTACAGAGGTCTGAAGAGGGAGTTGGATGCCTTGGAACAGAGGTTGCAGATGGTTTGTGACTGTAATCAAATTTGGGTCCCCAGCAAGAGCAGCAAGTGCTCTTAGCTACCAGCCCCATGGCACACAGTTTCACAGCTGTGTAATAGTCAAGTTTTCTCTCCTTGAATTTTGATTATTGGAGGTAATAACTCCTTTCTCAGATGTAGGAGTCAAATCTGACTTAAAAGGTTCTTGGTTCTCATACAGACATTTAAAAGATGTAAAACCTGTAGTCTATTTTTAGGTCAAAGCTAAATGAAGAAGAATGAAGCATGTGATCAGTCAACCGTAAAGCAGTAGACAATCAAGCTATGTTACTATCTAAGTGTGCTGTTTTTCTAAACTAAGAGTGTGGTTGAGACAGAGTGTAGCTCAGCAGTAAAATGTTTGCCTAGAATGCATGAGGCCCTGAGATCAATCTTTATCACTGAGAGGAAAAAAACAAAAACAAACAAACAAACAAACAAACAAAAATACCCCACAAGTATATTGTAGGCAACAGAGTTCATGCAAGAGACAGCTCCTGCTCCACTTGCTAGGGCACCCACATGAAGACCAAGCTGCCCATCAGTTATCCTATGTGTAGGGAGCCTAGGTCCAGACCATGTGTGCTCTTTGGTTGATGCTTCAGTCTATGTAAGCCCCCACAGGCCTACGTTAGTCTACTCTGTTGGTGTTCTAGTGGAGTTCTTGTCTCCTGGGTCCTTGTATTTCCCCCCTGCACTTCTACAGAACTGTCCTCCCTGCTCTGCTTTTAGATCTCTTCCCCCTAGCAGGGCTGCCTTGCCTAGCCTCAGTGGAAGAGGATGAGCTCCGTCATGATGCAATTTGATGTGCTGGGATGGGTTGAAATGGGCTGGGGAGGGGCTTCCCTGTTCTGAGAAGGGGGGAGGTGGGAAGACAGTGAGAGGATGGGACTGGAGGAGAAAAGAGAGGGGGCTGAGTTCTGGATGTAAAGTGATTAAATAAATAAGCTTACAAAAAAAAAAAAACAGAGTATTTTTCATATTCAGGGGGTTGGGAGGTAGCTCTGGAGTAAAGAACTTGCCTAGGGTACAGAAGGCCCTGAGTTCAATCCCCAGCACTATACTTACATATACATACCCACAAATGAGACTATAGTTAACAGTTAAATCCTACAGAATATTCTACGTTTAGGTTTAGAGGCACGCAGGTACGCCCCATACTTACTAATCAGAAGGTAAGACTTACTACACATACTTAGTAAGATGTGAAGTATTAAGCGTGTGCTATGTGATTCCCTTCACGCAGTATACTGCCGAGGCAGCTGTAACACCCAGGGGTGTACATGTTTGGACAGCAGAGTCCATTCTCATATCTCAGCTTCCACTGAGCAATCTAAGGCTTCATGAAATGTTTTTTTTTTTTCCCTTAGGCATTAGCTCCCTCTACCTTAGGTTCAGTGTGTGTGTAGCTGAGTGAGGCAATAAGATCTTTTTACCCTTTGTGTTTTCTGGATTAACCTTAAAAAAAAAAAAAGTATCCCTAAAAGAAATTGAATACCTAATGCCAAACGGTGACCTAGTTTCATCATGATATGTACTAATGCTGTGTTTGTTCACGCTGCAGGGAGGCTAACACCCCTATTGAAATTGTCAAAGATGAGCCATGCTGATGGGCTGCTACCGAAGAGCAGATGGAGAATCCCACTCCTCCAGCGGCCCCTGCTAGAATCCCACTCTTTCCCCCATTTCTTTGCATGATATTTGTTAACACCACTTCTCTGAGAGGAGGTTGGAAGATAGAGATGTGCAGTGATTGATGAATTTTTTTAAAACTCGTGTTCTTGGCTTCTGTCCCATAGTGCAGTTTAATTTAGCTTATGGCCCAGGTGACTTCTGCATTGCTTTATTTAGTGGGAATAAAATGAGCATTGAATTCAATTATCGGTGTTCTGTGTTGAAAATGCTGTTTTCGCCCTCGGTGAGTTTTAATCCACCTTGTTTCAGGGTTTTCTCATTTAGCCTGAGAATTAAATGGATGACCGAGCCCACTCAGTCAGGTAATGTGAACCTAGGAGAGGGAGTGAGGATTGAGAAAAGGAAAAGATAAGAGATTGGGAGGTTCTTGGCAAATGCTGAGACAGGCTTACTTTCTCCTGTCATCTCTTTATACCCAACAGCCCTTACATAAGCTTTTTGTAGAAGCACAATTAACACAATAAGTAAAGTCTAAGCCAAGATGAAAAAAATGCAGAAGTGTTTACAGAAAACCAACCAATTTTCCTATTGCGCTTCCTTATAACACATCTTAAATTCCATGTAGTATTCACTCTGACCTTTCTCAGGCAAAAGAACAGGCCAAGAATCAGTCTTCTCATGTGTAAAGGCAAGCCATTAATCAAGCCTTAAATAACTCACATATCATTTGAACAGTTCCCCCTTCTTTAATTATTAAATGGACTGTTCCTGTCTTAGGTTGGTTTGAAAACACACATGTCATCTTGGAAAACCATCTCACATCAATACTTCCCTGTCTTGGGTTGATCATGCTGTTCCAAACTTTTACCCGTCATTGACTACCAGCCCTTCACATGGGGGAATCTTTCAGCTTAAGTCCAAAGACTGTGCTGTAATTCTGTGTAAGGCTCAAAGCATCAAATTTATGATCACCAGAAGAAAACTACACATGAGAAGCAATAACATGGCCAAAGCAATAAGACTATGAGTGGACGAGCTCTGTGAAGGCAAGGACAGCTGATTTAAAAGGTCTTGAGCAATGTTTGCTGGTTCAAAATTCAACAGTTTAGCTTTTTGCATAAAGACCACTTCTTGATGCAGCTGAACCAAGTCTAAAGACAAATTGGTAGGATGTCATACTCCCAACAAACGTTTTTCCATTGATAATTAGCAGGGCAATTCAGTCGTGATCTAATCTGTAAGCCTTGCAAGTCATCTCTTAAAACTTGTAAAGCTTCCTATAAAGCATCTCTTCTCCATTCTAATCTTTCATCAGTATCATTTTGCAGTCCTAAAATTACAGTAACATTATGAGGGAAATCATTAACATAGCTAGATGTTTGCACTTCTTGTGTTAGTGCAACAGCAGCTGTGGTAGCTGTGGCTATCAGAGCAATCAAAGCAAAGATTCCTGCTGTAATTAAACCTACCATTCAGGGCTGGAGAGATGGCTCAGAGGTTAAGAGCACTGGCTGTTCTTCCAAGAGGTCCTGAGTTCAATTCCCAGCAACCACATGGTGGCTCACAACCATCTATAGTGAGATCTGGTGTCCTCTTCTGACCTGCAGGTGTACATGCAGACAGAGTGCTGTATAAGTCAATAATAAATCTTTGAAAAAAACAAACAAAAAAACTACCATTCATTTAGTTCTACTTAAGGCTCTCTATTTTTTTTTCAATACCTGCAAACCTTTATATGAATACCATGCAGCTGATATATTTACAGGAACCATAGCGAATTGTGGTTGATGTAAAATCAGAACTGAAGTTCCTATATTAACAACTGATAAGCATTTGGAAAAATAACAATTCAAGCAAGAAACACTTGCTTGAAAAGTGTACAGGCATATTTTCAATTTTAACATTACCTAGTAAAAATACATAAGAGTAGGTTAAGAAAACAGACATCCTTCCTCGTACCATGTCCATAATGGTTGTTAATAATCTTTGTATCAGTAGACAGCATAAAAGAATACAGGACTGCAGCCACTTTCCATAAATGCCTCTGACTATAATTCTTAGGAGCAATCCAAATTCCTGAAGCTCTTTATTGCCTAAATCCATTTGAATGCTTCGCCAGCTAATTTTCTTGGCAACATCATTAACAGAGAATTGAACAGGTGTGATATGATAACAGTACTTCCAATTAATAGACTTGTTATATATAGGACCTAATAAACCCCCTGATTTTAATGAACATGGTCTGAGAAATATTAGTCACTTCAAACTGGGGCATATACCCATCATGACACTTTGCTTAGTATTCTTCTTGACATTGGCAGTCCATGTCTGTGATGTAACGGTGACACATTCCTTGTGAGTAGCATTCTTTCTAAACATATAGGACCGGCCGTACTGAAGCCAGAACAATTAACTGGCTGTGAGTCGCTTATTGCTTGATAAAGGAAAGCCTAGTAAGTGCGTGTCATTAGTGGATACAAGCACTTCCAGACCGCCCTGAGGAACAGGATGCAGCAGAGGAGGATCAGGAACATATGGCCGGTATGGTTCTCCTGCTGCACTCATCACCAGAATCAATAGGATCAGCAGCCTTCCCCAGCTGTGTCAGTTGTTTAGGTAACCAATGAGTTTTTTTCAGCATCCTGTGGAAAATCACAAACATGGCCTCATCCCCATATCAAAATTGGGTTGGGTCCATTCCATTGTCCAGTTAAAGGATCCTGCCATTTCACCATGGCAAAATTATCTTTAGCTTTTGGGTGCTAAAAATGTTCTGCAGTAAGCAGAAAAACACACATGGTATATACTCACTTATACGTGGATATTAGATATATAATATAGGATAAACATACTTAAATCTGTACACCTAAAGAAGCTAAGCAAAAAGGAGGACCCTGGGTAAGATGCTCAATCCTCATTCAGAAAGGCAAATGGGATAGCCATTGGATGACAGAGAAAATGGAATAGGACAGGAGCCTACCACAGAGGGCCTCTGAAAGACTCTATCCAGCAGGGGATTGAAGCAGAGACTCATAGCCAAACTTTGAGCAGAGTGCAGGGAATCTTATGATAGAAGCAAGAGAAGAAGACCTGGAGGGGACAGGAGCTTCACAAGGAGAGCAACAGAACCAAAATATCTGGCCACAGGGGTCTTTTCTGAGACTGATACTCCAACCAAGGACCATGCATGGAGATAACCTAGAACCACTGCACAGATGTAGCCCATGGCAGCTCAGTCTCCAAGTGGGTTCCTAGTAAGGGGAACACGGACTGTTTCTGACATGAACTCAGTGGCTGGCTCTTTGACCACCTCCTAAGTGGGGGAGCAGCCTTACTAGGCCACAGAGGAAGACAATGCAGCCAGTCCTGATGAGACCTGATAGACTAGGGTCAGATGAAAGGAGAGGAGGACCGCCCCTATCAGTGAACTGAGGGAAAGGCAAGGGAGGAGAGGAGGGAGGGATTGGGAGGGACGAGGGAGGCGGCTACAACTGGATACAAAGTGAATAAATTGTTAATTAATAAAAAATTTTTTTTAAAAATAAAATAAAAATACATAAAAATGTTCTGCAGCTGACAAGCCCTGTTTGTCCAAATTTAAAAAAATTAAAATAAACAAAGCATGCTTTAAAGACTTCTTTGGAGTCTGGGGATAGAGCTTCCCCTTTTTATTTTTATTTTTTTTTGTAATTGTTGCTTTAATGTACTATGTGCTCTTTTAGCAATACCTAGTTCTTGTGGATAATAAGGAATTTTAGTTTGTTTGTTTTTTTTGGGGGGGGGTGGTGAATATATGTAGACCTGTTGTCTGTTTTAACGACTTTTGGTGTGCCCATAACAGTGGAGCATAGTAAGCAACAAGCAATAATTAGTTTAGCAGCCTTTCCAGTTTGTGCAGAAGCAAAACTAAAGCAGAACACGTGTCCACAACTACACGGACATGTTTTGGTTGCCCAGACTTTGCCACCTGAGTGACATCCACCCGCCAAAGCTGATTAGGAATAAGCCCTGGGGGAGTAGGACGCTCGGGTGGTACAGCTGTAAATTGAGGGCACTGTGGGCATTGTTTTATAATTTGACGAATGGTTCCGTGGGTGATCTGATACTGTTTTGTTTTTAGGCTATTGCTGTTTTGATGATGCAAGGCATGAGATTGTTGTGCTAATTCAATTTGAGTTAGGGCAATAAACTTGGACTGAGTCAGTTCATTGGCCTCAGCATTACCTTCTGATAATGGACCAGGAAGACCAGTGTGAGCTCTCGTATAACCAGCGTAATAAGCATGCTTTCTGGATTTTATGCAAAGTTGTATCTGCTGAAATAATTGTAATATTTGCTTATTCCTAGTTTCTAAATAAGGAACGGTTTCGAAAAGAATTAAGGCAATACGTTGACTATCTGTAAAAAGGTTAAAAAGTAAATCGGTAAGAGTTTTAAAAACAGCAGCAACAGCTTTTAGGTCAATAACTTGAGCAGAAGCTGGTTTAAAACTAAGTACTGCCTTTTTGTCCCTGAACAATAAATGCTGCATTAGCATCAGAGGAGCCTTCAGTGAACACTAGCAAGCCTGAAGTAAAGGTGCCGTTCTCAAATTAATAGGAAATATAAATTTATGCTAGGGAATTGTAACAGCTTTATGTTTTTTTTATAATGATTATCAATGTTTCCAGTAAAATGCTCAAAAGTATCAGGTCATAAATTAGTATTTTGGAACAACCAATCTATTTGTATATTAGTATAAGGCACTATAGTAGTATTGGGATTTCGTTTTATTAGAGTTATGAACTACATTGCCACTGCTTCATAATAAAGAGTAATTACACAGGCAGGTGATACAGGTAAAGGGATCCAAAACAAAGGGCTGCTTTGCCAAAGTACAGCAGTGGATGTAGGAGAGGCGGGTGGAATGTACGCCTCTAAAGGAAGGTCATGATCAGTATGTGATATTGTTTGATAACTATTGGCTGTCTCCACCTTTTTTAGTGCTATTCTACCTTCCTCTGT